TATGATTCGAGTATATGATTCGAGTATATGATTCGAGTATATGATTCGAGTTTATGATTCGAGTATATGATTCGAGTATATGATTCGAGTTTATGATTCGAGTTTATGATTCGAGTTTATGATTCGAGTATAATTTTTTAAAAAGATAATAAGCATAGTCCCCCTACTCACATGCAGGAAGCCGCCCTTTGGAATTTTTCTTCCTCTCTCCCCTCTTAAAAGTTGCGCCCCTGATCATAGCTTTTTATTTAGATATTCTCTTATAGAGGCCGCTACAGATCATAGCTTTTTATTTAGATATTCTCCTATAGAGGCCGCTACAGATCATAGCTTTTTATTTAGATATTCTCCTATAGAGGCCGCTACAGATCCGGAACAAATTGCTAATATTAATGATTTAGGTAAACTCGTTTTTTTCAAGGAAATGGTAAAATCGTCTTTTTTATTGCAATGATAACCAGAAAACTCTGGAATAGGAAGACAACATTAAGAATCAAGTTTAAACTTTAAAAAGTTCAATAACCATGAAACACAGCAGTTGTGCAGTGTAAACAGACTCATTTCACAAAAAAAGTAAATTTATAAGTGTCTGATAAAACTATTTGCTTTCTAACACCCTCAAATGCACTAAATATTGCTATAATGTCGTCTTCTTTTTCCGTTGTTTTCTGGTTATCACTGTATGTATTATTATATCTACATAATAAAACGAGACATTCTTATATATAGATATATATGTTGCCTATTGCCGGCCAAACGGCTGGACCAATTGGGCTGAAATTTTTTGTGGACTCTCAGGGGTGGCGGGGGGGTTGGGTGTTATAAGCTAAAAAATTCAACATTTTTTCTTCAACATTTAAAAAAAAAAAATTTTTTCACGGGCAACGCTGGGCCCTTTAGCTAGTTTAAAATAATATAAAACTTGTTTTGAATATGTCAATCAAAATTGTCTACATTTATATTATTTTTTACAGTGAGAATAAGGCGACTTTAAGACTAAAATTAACTTTTGACACAGCAATTAAGCAGTGTAAACAGACTCATTTGACTTAACAAGTGATTTAATAAATTAAATGTCGTCTTCCTATTCCTCAGTTTTCTGGTTCTCATTGTAGTATTTTAATCAGTGCAGGATATATCATTTCAGTTTAAGTTAAATCATCTTTAGCACTATCAATGAATGAAATGTTCACTCAATTGTATTTAAAAGATCTGGTAAAATTGGGACACTTCACAAACCATGCAAAATGAGTAAACTTATTAAAAACAAAAATAATAAAATGATTAATATCTTGAAACCGTTTCTAATTTCAGATGAATATATTGAGCTCTTATATGAGGATATCCCGTCTAAAGTTAAAGGAGCAAACCTTATCTTACAACTCTCAAGGTCTGATAATAATAATAATAATAATAATTAATAATAATAAATCCAGCAAACCATTTTTCCGTGTAAATCAAGACCTCATTTGAAAGTAAAAACTTAAAAAGAGGAAAATTAAGGTAACATTTGGTTAATGACACAGCTAAATATCAAAAATGCTCCTATACGATGTTGTTCTGACTTTCAATTGATAAAATTTTAACTTTACTAAAAAGTATCTGCCTAACAAAAATATATTAACTTTCTTACTTTAAAGTACAGAGTTTATTTTTCTATAAAAACTTGTCACATTAACTGTTTAGAGAGACTACACTTGCTCGAGACTTCAAAAGAAATTGTTTTTATCAATTTTTAAGCAAATATTACGTTATAGGAAAAGATTCATACCAAGTAAACGAATTATCTAGAGGATCAGATTACTTTAAAGAAATTTTTTACATAAACCTTAACGGCGAATGAAAAATTGAAAAATTCAACATTTTTACAAACACTCCTCTTAAAACTAACAATTAGGTCTTCTCTGTCTGTACTTTAGGAGATGGAGAAAAGTGTTAAAACCAACCAACTTGCAGAAATAAATTTTATTCATAGAGTACTTAGTCATTTGCTTTTTCTTCAAGAAACTCTGATACCTTGCATATTATAGTAACCTTCAATAAATCCAGCGTATGATAACCTGGAGCGTATTCTAGGAGCATTAATAACCTAGAGTATATTATAGAAACCCTGAAAACCTAGAGTGTATTCTAGGAACCCTTTTAACCTGGAGTGTATTTTAAGAACCCTGATAACCTGAAGTGTATTTTAGGAACCCTGATAACTTGGAGTGTGTTCTAGGAACCCTGATAACCTGGAGTATATTCTAGGAACCCTGATAAACTTGCGTGTATTCTAGGAACCCTGATAACCTGGAGTATATTCTAGGAACCCTGATAACCTGCAGTGTATTCTAGGAACCCTAATAACCTGGAGTATATTCTAGGAACCCTGATAACCTTGCGTGTATTCTAGGAACCCTGATAACCCGGAGTGTATTTTAGGAACCGTGATAACCTGGAGTGTATTTTAGGAACCCTGATAACCGGGAGTGTATTTTAGGAACCCTGATAGCCCGGAGTGTATTTTAGGAACCCTGATAACCTAGAGTGTATTTTAGGAACTCTGATAACCTGAAGTTTATTTTAGGAACCCTGATAACCTGGGGTGTATTTTAGGAACCCTGATAACTTGAAGTGTATTTTAGGAACCCTGATAACCTGGAGTGTATTTTAGGAACCCTGATAACCCGGAGTGTATTTTAGGAACCCTGATAACCTGGAGTATATTTTAGGAACCCTGATAACCTGAAGTATGTTTTAGGAACCCTGATAACCTGAAGTGTATTCTAGGAACCCTGATAACCTGGAGGAATTGTCTGAGAACGAAACCTTGTTGGGAGCACTCTCTAGGGTTCTAAGAGAGGAGTGGAAGACGAGCATAGGAAAATGAACAAAATTATTTGATCGAAAAATAAAAAAAATTTAACTGATTTAAATAATAATATTAATTTCAATATTTTTATTTGTTTATGAAACAGATCTAACGACAAATATAATTTATACCTTCTTCTGCTTTTCAACATTTTCACAATTCCATCCAATCATCATGCATAATAAGGTAAGATTTGTAATTTTTCAATATCAAATATTAAAAATTTGATGTGAGAACGTCCCAATAAACATACATGGAACCAAAAGAAAAAACAATAAAACTGAGTTTTTGCCAAAACTCTGATTTTCTAATTTCTATATCTCTGCAACCCAATGTAGTAGTAGTAGCAGGTTATAAAGAGATAGGGATTAGAAAATCAATGTTTGTGGCAAAAACTTTATCTGTAGTATTGGCATTCATAATCACAAAAATAGATTATAAAATATATTAAACTTATTTTGCAAAGAATAGGAAACTAATCTTAATTCTTAATCTTGATCTTAATTTTCTGCAGGTAGGAAGCCAGGTACTGGATATTCTCCAGTTCGAGGTTACCCGGTATACCCAGTACTCTACAGAGCTCTACAAGAAGACCAGAGCTCTAGAGATGAAATCCTCCAAAACTTCTGCAGATCTGGACCAGGAGAAGGAGGAGTTCGAAATATTGGAGAGAAAGTTTCAAAACTTTGTTCTAAAGCAGGAACAGACTCTTAGAGTATCTATCTATCTTCTTCTCAACCTTTCAGAAGATATAAAGGTATTTAGTTCATTAAATTCTAAACATTTAAAAAATATTTCAAGGTTCAATGAGGTATGAAACATAACTGATACCTATAATTGTTCATGCGTAGATGATACAAAGCTAAGGATTAGGTTGAATCAAGGTATAAAAACTAGCTGTAAATTATAAAGAGTGCGGTGAATATAAAACTAAGCTAATGATACGGTTTAACACAAGGTATAAACCCTATCGGAAAACTTATAAAGGTTGAGGAGAAGATGAAATTAAACTATGAGTAAGGTAAGATCAAGGTATAAAACTAACTGAAACCTATAAAGGTTGAGGAGAAGATGAAACTAAACTATGAGTAAGGTAAGATCAAGGTATAAAACTAACTGAAACCTATAAAGGTTGAAGAGAAGATGAAACGGCGCGGAGTAACAAATCTTCTGGTTCAGCTCCTGAACAGAACTAATGAAGAATTACTTATTCTTGTGATTTCTTTCTTAAAGAAATTATCTCTCTATGCGGAAAACAAGGTAAATTATTAGTTACATTATTTGTTTTATGTTTGTAAATCTGCCTTACAATCTTTAGGTAACTATTTAAAGGAATCAAGTCTTTAGATTTTCTAATCCCTGAAACTTTTTAAGACCTTAGATAGTTCAAAGCATGAATGTTATTAACTCAAATAATCTACGTTTGAAATATCAAAAGTTTTCACCTAAAGATTTTAAAGAAAATAAGATTAGAAAATTTGAGTTTGGGGCAAAAACTCAATTCCTTTCTTTAAAGTTTAACTAAAGTTTTGCTTGATTTTTAACCAAAATAGATGACTAAACTTCTTAAGTAAGTTTTTAAAAACAATTCTAATTACAGCTTTATTCAGGACGCTATGCTGGCCTCTTCTGTAATTGAGAAGCTAAACCCTCTTCTCTCCTCCCAGAATTCTGATCTAATCAATGCTGCAGTTCGTCTTCTCCTGAACCTGTCCTTTGATACTTCAGCTCGGGTTCAGATGGTGAAATCAGGACTAGTTCCTAGATTAGTCTCACTACTGGAGGATACAGGTGTGAAACATTTTTATAAAAATATGATTTAATCTAGTTTTGTCTATTTCTTTGTTTTAAACGTAATTAACGTCTTAATAAAAATAAATTTATAAATGTTGAACCGTCCCATCTCAAGTTTGGTAAAACTGCTGACAAAACAAAAATTTTGAGCCTTCAGATTTATAAGGCATATTGGAATATAATTGCTGATACAGAGAACAGGATTAGAATTAACATAATTGGTTTCATGGGACTCTTAGTAACAGAACCTTATATCTTAGAACGAAACATCCGTCTTTAGTAAATATATATGTATATATGTTGTATAGTTATGTATATATTATGCATTTATGTATAGTATGTATGTATTATGTATATTTTTTTCTTTAATTTTTTAATTAAACCAGAATATTGTTTTTGTACAAGAAACCAGAATATTGTTTATGTACAAGAAACCAGAATATTGTTTATGTACAAGAAACCAGAATATTGTTTATGTACAAGAAACCAAAATATTGTTTTTGTACAAGAAACCAGAATATTGTTTATGTACAAGAAACCAGATTATTATTAATGTACAGGAAACCAATATATTGTTTATGTATAAGAAACCATATTATTATTCATGTACAGGAAACCAATATATTGTTTATGTACAAAAACCAGAATATTTTTCATATATGTATATATACAGGAAACGGTAGTATTACATATGTACGGAAAATACTAACATCATTTTGTTCCAGGAAACCAGAATCCTGTATCATGTGTCCTTTACCATTTATCCATGGATGATAAGGTATTTAAACTAAATATTGAAAAAAAACATTAAAATTCGTAATATGTATTTTTCAGGTTAAATCAATGTTTACGTATACAGATGCTATTCCAAGTTTGATGAAGATAATTCTTCAAGCTCCGGAAGATCAGGTTTGGTAACAGGAGAAGGTATAGGTTCAGAATACTAGTTTAGCTAGGAGTAGGTTTAGAATACTAGTTGAGCTAGGAGTAAGTTCAGAATACTAGTTGAGCTAGGTGTATGTTCAGAATACTAGTTGAGCTAGGAGTAGGTTTAGAATACTAGTTGAGCTAGGAGTAGGTTTAGAATACTAGTTGAGCTAGGAGTGTATGTTCAGAATACTAGTTGAGCTAGGAGTAGGTTTAGAATACTAGTTGAGCTAGGAGTAGGTTTAGAATACTAGTTGAGCTAGGAGTAGGTTTAGAATACTAGTTGAGCTAGGAGAAGGTTCAGAATAAAGCCCTGAGCTATAAAACATCTTATCCAATCTTGATTCTGACAGAGTCTGAGGATTTAACTAAAGTTTGAACTAAAAACGTTGAATAATTTTAATATTAAATTAATTTCTTCTCATCTACATCTCTGCATAATATGCAAATTGCAAACTTCTTGTGAAATTTTTGAAGCAACAACATATAGCCAGAAGGAAAGTTTTATATGAATATTTTCTAATATTATAAAAAAAATCATAAAAATGAAAATGAAAAAAGTTCAAACTTGTATTATAATTCTGTTAGCAGTAAAAGATATTAAGATACCTATTTTGTTAAATATTCAAAATAACCTTATTTTCCAATTTCGATATTCTCTATTTTCTGTATTGTGTATTTCTGAGAGCTTGAAACAATACAATTGTATCACCACTACTACTAAAATACTAATGGATGTATCCAATGAAACTTGTGCAAAGTTTTCCTTTTTTGTGTCAATCTAGAATACTTATTGTTTATTCACATTCTTTGGAGTTAGTTTTTTCAAGATGACTAATGCCTATAATGACTCTATAAAGATTTAAACTGCATTATTGTATTATTATTGTTCTCCCTGCTTATGATATAATTAAAGTAAATTTTCTTATCAGGTAGATCTGGAGATTATTATAGAATTAGAGTAAATTTTCTTATCAGGTAGATCTGGAGATTATGATAGAATTAAAGTAAATTTTCTTATCAGGTAGATCTGGAGATTATGCTAGAATTAAAGTAAATTTTCTTATCAGGTAGATCTGGAGATTATGGCTTTAGCTATAAATCTTGCAGCTAACAAGAGAAACGCTCAACTTATCTGTGAATCTAACGGTCTTAGGCTCCTGATGCAACGTGCATTCTCCTATCAGGTTTGCAAGAAATCAGAAAAGCAATAAAAGAATATTGATGCAAAAAAAATCTCTACGTTTACTGTTGCAATACTGAAAATAATTATAAATATTAATAAATAAAGGAATTAGTTGAAAGCCTGCATTAAAAAACAAATTTTTTTTATTATTAAATTTCAGGATCCCTTGATAATCAAGATGATCAGGAATATTTCACAACACGACGGAGTTACCAAGAATCTTTTCATCGAGTTTATAGGTTTGTTTAAATTTTTATTGTTGGTCATAAATCCTAGAACTTAGATCCTAGATACTTGATTCCAGATTCTAGATTCTAGATCCTAGATTCTAGATCCTAGATTCTAGATCCTAGATTCTAGAT